TACATATGTATACATATGTATATATGTGTATATGTATATATTGTATAATTTTATTTATTTATTTATTTTTTATGTATCTCTATAATCATCAGAACTAATACCAACACTGGCTTCATTACAAATATGTGCATTCCATGACAAAAGCAAGGGATTTAATGTAATTTGATTTTGGTACCTGTTATACATGCACACCTAGCTACACTGAGCTTTACTGAGGATAATGTAACATACAATATTAAAAGCTGGGTAAAAAAAAGGTAACTCATAGTAATGAACACCAATGCTTAAAAATGTGTCCATACACTCTCTTTTCTTACTAAGAGCCAGACAAAGATAAAATAGTTTGCCCATAACATAACCATTCTGGTCGACTGTCTCTTACAAATCCAAGTTACCATATATAAAAACCCTTTTCTAAGGTTACATTTCAGGTCTCTTGGAACTGGCTCCAAAGATTCATGTTTATGCCCATGAATCTATGAACTTCTTCACATTTTCTTGATCACACATAAGGGCAAGCAAAGCTTTCTTAGCTCCCTTTACAAATCCACTTTGAAAGTTCCATTGTTTTGAGTTGAAGATACAGGCCTCAGATCCACTGTCTGTTCTTCTAGCAGTATTTTTGGATAATCATTCTTACTCATCAGACATCTAGATGAGGCCCTGTTTTTCATTATTATCAAACATTTTTTGTGTGTAATCTGCTGCTTCAATTACTTGACATTTTGCATGTTATCATAAGTCCATGAAATGCCATTTTCAGCTCATCAGCATATGTCAATCATTATGTAACAGAAGAGGTATTTTCTTTCTACAAGAGATGTTACAATTAACACCAACACTGGGTTTCTGAATGCATTCTTGGCAGTTCAGTTCAGCATAGACAAAAGATGTTATTCATTTTACTGAATATATTATGGCATTTCTTTTCATTGGCAGTCTCTTCCTCCTTGTTATGGGTGATAACTTATGTATCCTGAGTTTTTTAGAAATGGTTAAAATTCTTCCCAAAGACATCTTACAAGCTTAACATTTCTATACAGAAAAGCTCATCGTCAAGAATTATTACAAGCATGGAACTGCAGACTACACCTAGCCATGTATGAATCCCAGCAGCGGCCCTTCCATAATAAACCAGGTCACCCAAGCAAGGGCATGGAAGGGCAAAGTTAGTAGATATTTTTTTCAATGAAGTTGAAGGCCCTAGAGTATTACATATGGCATTGTGTTATAGAATGTCTCAGTTCTAGCCACATCCACACAGATGTGAAAACCAAATGGTACAAAATGAACACTTAATAACAGAAGCAAAAAATCCCCTTCTTTGATCACAAAATGCACAGCTATTAAAAAACTTCCAAGACAATTATGCCACATGAATAAAATATGTTAGTATAGCATTACAATTTAACATGCTTGTTAATCAAACATACCACAAGTTGTTCTAACAAACTTACTTTAATTCAAACCATCTCTTCTGAATATCAGAGAAAATTAGTTTCCTATGAAAAAAAAAAAAAAAAAACTTTCCACAAATGTGCTCCTCATAAACTTGGTGTGGTGGTTCACTTTCCCCTTTACTTGACTTAAATGACTTGATCTGACCATTAGAGTGCACAGTGCTTTTAGCAGAATCGTGGAACTCAGGCAAAGTAAAGCACTGCCATTCAGCTTTCAACTTCTCAAGTGTTTACTGTGCCATAAGCAAACAAATTACACCAGCACTCTAACCTAGATGACACAGTGTCAAATGCAGTGCACTTTCAACTTTGTTCTCGCAAAGAATCTGAGTTTAAGTTCAAATGCTACATCTTCCTTTTTTATCCTTGGGAAATGACCAGTATTGGACTAGGTCTCTAGCAACTTTGATATCTACTTGTTGATTACTGTCTTTTTGGGAACCAGGCTTAAGCTTAGATAACCACAAATAACCAACGGAACCAAATATATTTAACAAAATTAGATTTGCAGGTCCTTGAAGCAATAGAGATTCTAGCAGATACTCTTAATGCTAAAAAACATTAAACATGAACTAAATATTTTCAAATTATTTAAATTCTACAATTCTTTTGGTAACAATGTCAAGTTTGAAGAGTAAAAGCAAATTACCAACAATATGCAACTCAAGCTTTTGATATACTGAGATCATGTGAACTGCCGAAATAGTATTAATGTGTGTTGGATATTCTATGTCTTACTTATTTTTCCCTCTTAAACTTTAATGCCATGCTAATATTCATAAAATAGGCAATATAAAGCAAAGATGATAAATAATTTAACTGATATTGACAATTTAAATCAATGGCCAAAATATTCTTCACATTCTATCTACTGTATTGGAAAAGAAGTGATTTAGACTCAGTATTCTCTGTAGTTCTTGATAGTTATCCAGCTAATATTCAGCCTAGAGAGAAAGTGACTAATGTAGTTAAATCTCCAACATAAGTACAGATAAATCCTTTTCAGTTACTCTAAGCATTTTCATGGCAGCTGATGGTGGAAACAATCTATGCAAATGAGAATTGGTAACAAAAATTGATTTCCCCCTTTTTATCAACATCTGGAGCTTTCCTAAATTCTGAACCACTGCATTTCACACAAAGCTTCTAAAAGCAATGACAGGAAGAATAATAATAAAAAATAAAAATCTACATTCTATTACAGCAGTATATTTGGCAGCTTGGAACTCCAGTTATAAATCCACTTGATCCGAGTTCTAAATATTGAGTTGCAATACTGTTTATACCTTCATTGGGTGAAAATTGGTTCTCCAGCAATAATAAGAAATATGGTGACTTCCTTGACGGTCCCCCTCTATGCTTCATGGAGAAAAGCTTCAAAGCAATAAAACTCCAACTTCAAAAGTTTCTACAAAAATTTCTAACAATTCACAGTGATCAAAATGGCCTAGATTTTCTACCACACAGATATGACTTGAAATATAGATTTCTTATGCCTTTTTCTGGATGCCTTTTTAATCTGTTTCCTTGCATAACAAAACATACAAGAGATCTTTGTTAAAAAAAAAACAGTTCTGTTATCTAACTTCCAACATATCTAAGAATAAAGTTAGTGTTGGAAATTGGAAACGGTTAGCAGTGAAAGAATTTTGCCTGACTGCAAAGTCTCAAACATCACACTTCTCTTCTGAATTTGGTTAGTGGAAACAGAGGCTCACCATGCAGCACAACACATAGAGACCCTGCACAAATGACACGAGGCTAGCTTGAGCAGCTGAACCCTAAACTTACATAAAAAAACAGAAAAAAAAGTCTATAAGTTAAGGTAAGCATGTAAAGGACAGAATAGTGCCAAGCCCAGGCAAAACAGTAGCAACAGTAGGTCCTTGGGCTGGCTGGAGAACAAGAACCGTGGGATGGCGCCCACCTCTGGTGCCAGAACGTGGAAGAAGGCAGGGCAGGTTTTGTAGTTGATGGATGGCGACCAGTGGGCTCGAGTGTGCCGCGCTGCACCAGAACTCAGCACCTACAACACTTGGCTGTCAGGCCTTTACTCATATACAGTGGGACCTCTTCCAACTGATATCATGCAGACACCACATAGCATGATCATCTTTTTTTTAAAATTGTCACACAAGACACAAGCAACTTTCAGTCTGATTACATGACCCAGTCATTTCTGACCCTCTAAATCATGGACAGATATCTAAAGGTCCACTGTACATAATAAATATATCTTGCTAATAACTCAGTAACAATACAAAAAGGTTCAAGAGCAAAGATCTTTAACTTGAATTAAAAAGTTATAAAAGGAATGTCCATTCACATTAAAAGCTGTTTAGCTGACTTACATTTAAAGGGAGCCACTACAACATACCTTCACCTGCCTTATGCCAGGTGACCTAGTCAATATACAACAAAATAAAAAAAAATATATTGCATCACAAATGGCACAAATAAATTCTTTAGTAGTTGCCTTACTGAAGGTTTCGTTAGGATTCATGCTAGGTTTCACTCTAAACTAATACATTAAACACAAAAGAACACACACAAACTTTCATGCCCTCATCAGAATCACATATTCACACTAAATGCCTTGCTGGCAGAATACAACCACCACCAAGAGTGAATGGTGGCATAATCAACTAATGGTGGATCTTCACAAAAAATAAGCAAGTGTTATGAGAAATTAAAAATGTCTTGGAGTGAATCAAAGACCAATCTACTATGCATATTCACATCACAAAAGCTTGGCACATAACTGCATGTAATTTTCTCATATACAAAAATGGAAATAGTTATGAATATCTGAGTAGTTCCACCAATAAGGAAAGAGAGAAGGAAGAGCAATACTCACCCCAGCCAGCTGCATGTTCAGTTCCTGGTTGAAGGCCGGCTGAGTCGCAAGAGAAATGGGAGTGCTTGGGTGGCTTGGGGCAGACAACGGGGCTGAGAAGGGGGGCACAGTGTGTGCGGGGGGCAGCGAGAGGGGCGGGCAGGAGCCACCGGAGGTACCTAACTGCTGCAGCTTCCGTGCCAGCTCTGACAGATTGCTGTTTGAAGTTATACTACAGGAAAGAAAGAGAAAATATCAATTATGAATTAAATGTTTGGCAAAGATTTGAAGAAAATATATCCTTTATTATAATTAAAATCACCTAAAAAGAATAAAATTCCCCCATCCCTATTCCCTATCCACAAGTTTAAGCCATTGATGCTATTTATGTGCAAACAAGATTCACAAAAGAAAACTACAGTTAACAATCAACTGTACATGCACCAAGAAGAAACGGGTTAAAACATGATACAGTAATCTGGTCCATCCAATCCTCCTGACCTGTCATATTTCTCCAAAGAATTCTGCTGTGAGAGTCTGGCCTGATGCTCAGCCATGTAGGTGTTCTCAGGCGTGCAATGATGGGGGGGTGTTGGGCCGCCCGACCCACTCTGTGAGACGGGTGCCGGGGCAACTGAGGTGCTGCTGGCACTGACACTAGCCGCCAAACCATCGCTCTGCTGCAAGACAGGAAGCAGATATTGGGTTAATCAGCAAGAATGACCACACAAAATGTTGCTAAATTTCTTACTCTTAAAATGGTACATAATAAAAAGGTATCAACTTATTTCTAGTGATAACAGCTCACCTCATCATGGAAACAAAATCTTAAAAGAAATGACATTTGTAGCAAGTTTGAATAAATATCTATAAGACTCATTTCTGTAATGAAACAGTGCTGAAACACTATTGCTTGATATTAGCAGTTAGTTGAAAAGAGAAAATGATTGAGAGTGAGAGAGAGACAGAGAGCTTGTATGTTTGTGTGTAAGTGTGTGCACGTCCTTGTCACACACACACACACACACACACACACACACACACACACACACACACACACACACACACACACACACACACACACAGAGGGAAAAAAGTTAAGATATTTAGCCAAGCATTAGATTTTCTGAAAATAAAAAATAGGAGAAAAAATGTATGGATGAAAGAAAGCAACTGATTTTGCATATTCAAAATCCTAAATTGATTTCCAAAAAATGCTGCAAATTCCTGTTATGCATTTTCAATTTTCAAATAAGGCAAGGCAAATTTATTTTTAAAATTTGCATTGGCTTGGGAAATGATTTTTTTATTTTTTTATTTAGCAGTTAACATCATGACAGGACAATTTATGTATTTATATACCATCAAATACATAATCACACTGATATACACATACACACTTGAAAAGACTCTTTCTACACTATACATCACAACCATCTGCATGCACCAAGTCCTGCTATATATACAGTGGATATTACACACCCATTCAGATCATGTTCACAGAGCCACCGGGTATATCAGCTGTCTGTGAGTTTTATCTAGAGTAAGAAGACTCCACATAAAGTGGCTTTCTCATGCATAAACACTATTTATTGGAGTATATCTGTACATTTTAATAATTTCTGTGTCACACAATACTGTTTGCAGAATGTTCTGTTTAATCAATATACATTTTTTCCTTATGGTACAATCACAGTTATGCCAGTATAGGTATAACATTTGAAGTAAGAATGGGATATGTAAAATGATTACCATCGCAAATGAAGATTCTCATTTCCTTTTGGAAATTAGTTTAAAAAATACATACACTAATTATGTAAATGGAAAATATGTCCTGGCTACTTTTTACCTTGAGAAATACAATACTCTTTCTAGAACAAAGAAATTTTGGCATAAAGAGGGATCAAGTAACAGACCCTCAACTGTGAACAGTATGTGCGACATCACTTTATATTCAGACGAACAGCTAGATCCATCTATCAGAAAAAGCTAAACTGAAATGACCTGAGACCTTCCATGCACTAAAAGACAGATTCCAGGTGAACAATGCTACATGCACACAGAGACTTTACCTGTTGGTCTTGTGTTGTGGGAGTAACAACAGAGGCAGAGGAGGCTGGCAGGTTAAGAAGCTGAGCAGCAGCAGATGAGGCAGGAATTGAATCTGACTGTGGGGACTCGTCAGTGTAGGGAGTGGGAGCCACGGCAGGCTGGCCCTGAGAAGTACCCACTGACCCTACAGACCCACCAACTACGTCATCTCCGGGTAGTTGCTTGCTTTCTACCACAGGACTCACCAGGAAGCGAGATTTTCTGAAAGCCTGTGACCAGAAGCCAATACTATCAGCCAGGAATTATATTAGCAGGAAAGCTGCACAGTGGCCAGCTCTTATCAAGATAGATTTACAGCACCTCAGAGAAGAAGGAGTGAGTGAAGCCCCCTTTTGTGCTCGTCCTAGGAGTCACAGATTGCTTGCTATGTGACCTGGATATGCTTCGCATTTGTTTTGAGATTTACTGCTTACAAAGGTGAGATTTTCTTTTATTGCTTTTATCATCATTATTTGCTTCTATCTCCCCTGGTTTCTTCTTGTGTAATACTTTGCTTTATTTTAACACATTGCCGCCGGGGAAAATGAATAAAAAATGGGGAAAATGCTGTGTTCCTTTTTTTATATTTTTTTGTGAAATGCTCTGCCTTCCCTCATTTCACCTTTCCTTGAATTGTTTTTTTTACAAGTGCTATGAATGATGTTATTTTTATTATAAACATTATAAGTACTATAACATTATAAACATTAGTAATAGCAAAGTAAGATGACATAAAATATTTTTGTAAATTAAAGAAAAGGGTAAACAGGCGAGACAGGCTCATTGGTGACTTAGTACAAGTGTAGCCATCTATGTGTAAAAACAATTAAAAAAGTAAACTCACAGTGGGCATGGCATGGATGTATGTAACATACCCATCATGAATGGGTTAATATTCAGCACTTACTCTATAGTGAAAACTGAGTAAAAATTTACTTAAACTTTTTAAAATCAACAAAAAATACTCTATGCTGCTGTCATGAAATATGTAAATGACAACAAAAAAATGAGTTAAAAAGAGACCTCTGTTTCTCAATAGACAGAAAGTCAGAAAGACAGAAATGTCCAAATGAAAAGCATAGCTGTAAGGTAAAGAGATATGAAGAAAAACCGTAGAGAGACTATGAACACTAAAATACTTACAAATGCTACTGGAAAGCTCATAGTTATTGATGATAAACTTCATACTGTGCACCCACACACACAAAATGGAACATGGAAAGACAGCATACATGCTTTCATACTAGCAAACAAACAAACAAACAAACAAACATATACACACACACACACACACACACACACACACACACACACACACACAAAAAAAAAAAAAAAAAAAAAAAAAAAAAAAAAAAAAAAAAAAAACAGGAAGGCATGTAAGCAAAGTAATGTCTATGTAAAAAATATATATAACTATATACAAACATACACTCACGCACATTCACATACACACATACTGAGCTCACACTTATCAATATGATTTATACATACATAATGTATATACACAAAATAAGTCTATATAATGAATGTGAAACAAGGCATATAAGAATAACCTTTACATGTGAGTACTTGTCAAACAACAAAATTCCAAACCAAATGAATTTCATGACTTTTTTTTCTCAAAAGCCTGGGACAATATTCATAACAGGCCAGAGAATTTTTTCTGACAAATTTAACCTGATTCTGCCAGGCCACACTTAGCAGCATCATAACAAACCGCTTGGTGTGCGGAGTACAGCTGTATGCCGCCGCGACGTGTTAGAGCGCTTCAAGTGGCTCATTGCCATTGATCTCCAGAGTGTAAAATTTTTATTCATCCGGCAGTAATGGGTTAAGGACTGTCTTAAAGACTTTTTTTGTCTAAGACAAATTAGTGACCTTTCATGAATACTGCTCCTGGTTCTTTTATTCATTAAACATTTTTTTCAAATGTTGATCATACAATTCAAGTTACTTTTAAACTACCAAAGATTGCTTTCAGATAGTTTGAAAAATGACAAATTTTCTCACATGAATGTTTTTCTTTTCCAATCTCTGGAACCAAAACTAATATAGTTACTTAGTACTAAGAAAGAAATATAAATAAATAACTACAGTCCAAAATACATAGTAACTACAAAGATGCAAAGAAACTAAACATCACAAAAACACAACCAAACATACAGCAAATATACATATAAACAAATAAAGATACACAGATAATCAGGAAGACAGACTCAAACACATGGACGAATACCAGACCCCCTCCCTCACATACACGCACATGTAGACAAACACATACACACACAAACCTGTGGCTGCTGTGGTGCCGGCTGAATTGAAGTGGCTGATTGCTGTGGAGCACACACTGCGGCTGGAGTAACTACTGCCTGCTGCTGCTGCTGAGGAGTCTGCTGAGTTTGCTGTTGCTGCTGCTGTTCCTGCTGTGTTGGAGTGGGCTGTGGCTGCCGCACAGGGCTTGTCTGCACTTGTGGGGAGGATTCTCTCCCTTCGACCTGCTTGCTTGGGGTTCCTGGGGCACTGTCCCCACCTCCCTCCTCTCGGTGCTGTGGTGGATATACAAATGCACTCAGTTAGGCATGGCAAGAGCAAAGGGTCGCCATTTGGCTAATCAGAAAAGAAAACTGAGAACAGAAGAAAAGATATGAAGAGAAAAAAAGAAGAAATGGAAAATAATTTAATAACCTTGCAAAATGAATTATGCGAATTCTAAATTCTGCCCTTCTTAATCATCAGCAATTAGCTTGGTAGCCAGTCAATTTTACTGTATAGATAATTTTTGCATTAAGGTGAAATGAATACGAGAATTAATTTAAAAATGAATATATACTGAAAATTATCACTGATATACTATGAGATGCAAAGGCAAAATACCAAAGATATAACCAAAGGAAATTAATAACAGATATATGTTTGTCATAAAATAAAACAACTGTATATAACTTGGATGTAACATAAAAAGGACATTCCTAATAAATAAAAATAAGACAATATAAATACATACATTGCATTTTCATGGTTGACTTTTTATATCTTTAATCCAAGGATATAAATTCATATGAAAATCTGACACAAACATGATTCATATATATCAATTTATGAAAACTTATAAGTAGCAGTAAAACATTACTTCACTTAGAAAATAATGAGATGACATGTCTTCAGTTCCTGAAGTACCTTATTGACTTGATTTTAAGCAAAGTGATGTAGATTCATAAACTGGTAAACTGGGCAGCAAAATCACATTCTACTTACTATAGAATCCAGCCAAACACAAGAGAAAATTATGAACAAATAATCAATAAAAAAGCACGGAATAAAACTTTTCCTAGAATATGAATAAAAATCAAATGTTGTTATGCTATAGGCAAAATCTGTGAAATATAATAAAATGCGTGAAATATAAACCATAACAGCATAAGCCTAGAACTGCATAGACTGTGCTCTCTATAGGGATAATAATAATGATAATAATATATAAAAAATATACATAAAAAAAAGAAAAGAAAAGAAAAAAATAACATCACTACAAAAATGTGCTAACAAATGGTCATTCACATCAAAATTGGTGTAAAAAGGAAAAGTAGTTCAGAGGGAGAGAGAGAGAAAAAGATAAAAGAAAAGGAAAAAGAAAAGAAAAAAATTCTTCTTGATGTTGCATTCTGTCTCAAGGTCTGAAGCTCCAAGTACAGGGAAATGCTAATGCTAAGTAACAAAACCATGAATAGTACCAATGCGAGTGGCAGAGGCAGGATGGGGACTCCGGAAGACCATAAGGAAGTCAAGCCAGGCTCCACGTACTTGTCATGGCAGTGATAGAATATACTGTAATTCATTTCCCTCAAAAGGAATTACACACGGAGTTATAGACAGGCAACAATGGCACTGCTCTGCCAGTATCAGGTTGTATTTGAATAAATACAGGAACAATCGTTTAACCTTCATACTCCAAAGAAAAATGTAAATTCAGACAATAATACTAATAATTATAATAATGATAAAAATAAAATAATAAATAAATAAATAAATAAAAAATAAAAACAAAAATAAAGCAACTGTAACTTGTAAAGAAGTGCATTTCTTAAAAATGTTTAAAAAGGTAGGAACTATTATCAACTTGCAAATACCCTTGAAACTATCTTCAAGTTATTTAATCTAACATTGCATAAATATGTGTAAAGACTATTTAAAACAAGCACACAGCAGCTTTGGAATTTTAGTTTGGTTTATTCAGGGTAAATTTTTTTCTTCCAATTAAGTTCTTATTTTGATTCATCTTCTGGAGGTTTATTTGCATGCAAGGAATGGTGAAAGAAATGGAAATGAATCAGACTGGATGTACAAAAATGTAGAGCAAGGAACAATGATTTCTGAGTAATAATAACAGATTAAAAAGTGGGACTTGTGCAAAATTCATTTCCATTTGCCCTAGGATTTTGTTGTCAGTTTACCATATCAACTGCAATTTACTTTCCATACAAGACAACTTTTTCATGGGTTGAATCTAAATACTATTGTTTCATCAAATAATCACTTGAATAATATAATTCTGTATTTCTCTTTTGTAAGGGACACACAGTTCAATATAGAAGTTATAAATCAAACTATTCAATATAGAATTTTCCTGTACATCTTGGCCAAACAAAATAAAAGACACAAAAAGAAATCTTGGACAACTGATTAAAATAATATAGAAAATAAATGTAAAAACATACTTCTATAAATTTCAATATAGTGAGCTAAATCAGAGCAACTTATTACAAGACATGACAATAGAAATGTCCTAACTAAACACACTAGTGACACATAGTAAAAGGATTATCTAAATTCAATATATCAAGCTGGAATGCACCACCTTCTGACAAAACACATATACAGTTTACACAGACTCTAAAGACTTGTGTAATAAAGGTTTCATCTACAAAGACTAAAAATTTGTTCAGAGCAAGTCCCCTTTTGACACACAATACATACAGTAAACTTGGTTCCTCTATTTGCAGATAATACAGTGAAATTAAGATTAACTTTCTTTTCATCAGAACTAATGAATCTCATTAAACTGACACAAGAATTCCCCCTGGATTTCTCTGCTACATGATGCTGACCGAACATACCAAGAGTTTTTTCTTCTCCACAGCATCATTCTATTAACATCTACTGAATATCATTTTGGGAATGACTTTGCAGAGCTGACAACAGTAATAAACAGAAGCACATATCAAAAAAGAATTTAGAAATATCATATAAACATTGGTTTACAGTATTTCTGAAGTATCTATATCACCTCACTAACACAGGTAAGAATAGCAAGTGCTTATACAATGCATTACCATCATCATCTGAGACATACAAATATGTGTACTTATCACATTTTAGGCTGTTTTTCAATGATGCGTTATGATAACACTTACAGTTATAAAATCACACTAATGCTGATATCACAAAAATTGGTATGATTTTCTCAACGAGGCCTCTCACTAAATCACTGTTATGCCTATCTTTTCAGCGACTTCTGCCATCCTGTGCAAAAGTACAGAAGGTAAAAAAAAAAAATCATTATCTAAATAAATGGAAATACAACGACCCACTCATGTCTTTCAAAAGTTTTTTCTTTCATTTTTCAAAGGTGACACAGTGATACATTGGTGATGATGATAATGGTACAGCTAGAATAAAACTACTGAATATCTAAAAAGTGCTTTTGATAAATTTCTTGTGAAAAAAAGCTAAAAAAAAAAAAAAGAGAAAAAAGCATCCAACAAGACTGGAATGTCTAAAAAGCTAGAGCAAAATATGTAATTATCATTTTCTTTCCTCCCTTCTAAATGTCTCTTAACATAACCTATATACTGATTGCACAGTGTACTATTTCATAGTGAAGAAGATAATACACTGGATGCATTTCACTTTTCAGACAGCCTCAGATAGCCTATTCATCCACAGACTTTTTGTCCTAAATTAATGCTCGCTCTGCACTTGTCTCTAATCTGCTACATTAACTGCTGGACGACTCCTGATTCCAGAACAGTTGTGCGGAGTATTTGAAGTATGCACAGGAGAGTATCTAACCGTTTGTTTTCTTCTTACTTGTACAAACAATTATGAAAATGTATATAGATATTGGTGTACATATACCAACAGACAGATTATAAACAAATACACAGTAACACAAACACACACTCACTCACACACACAGGTAAGCACCAGACACACAAAACAATATAGGTGTAATACGTATACTGTATGTTTAATCTTATCTGGTATTGAACATGCAAAGAAATTAAAAATGCCTGTAATGTGTTTTTAATCTCACACTTAACACAGTAGTTATAATAATCCACACAAAACAGAATTTCAATGGAGGCTTTTTCACCTTCCTAGTGGAAATCTAACACTTTTAGAGTGGGAAAGAAAGAAAGAAAAAAAATCGTAGGAATAAAAAGGTGCTATATATGTTAAGAAATAACACATATGGGTGTAAATCATAAACACTATCACACCAACGTGGATCATAGTGATACAAGATGCAGATTGGTTTGCTTATATTGGGGGAGGCTCAGGTAAGAAATCACTAAAGGAGTGTGGAGGAGGTATGTGTGTAGAGAAAAAGAAGAACAAGAATTAGACATAGAGAGAGATAGTGAAAGAATATATATAGCTATATGGGGATTTCAAGATAATGAAAGTCTTTATGATACGAAGCTTTCTTTAACTAAACATAATGACTTCAAATATGTAAATAATATTTAATCCCCTCATTATCCATTCTCACATCTATTACGATACTAGTCCTAGACATAAGAACATAATGAACTGAAGATTACAGCAACTGTCATTAAGAAAAAAGAAAACAATAATCACATGATTTTTTGTTCTTTGGTTTCAATCATCAGTCTAAATGCTTTCTGTTTATGCATATCTACTGGAACACTAAAAACCCTTTCATCCATCTTTAAAGGCAAATCCTAACAGCTATTTATGGGAAGCTACAGTGAGTGCAACAAGTGTTAAGGAGACGTGAGGAGTGAGGCAAGGAAGCACATGAGCACTCTTGACCAGCTTAGTCTCGGGTGATTAATCGTCTCGCATTGGCCTCCAGACCCCGGCAGTTGAGGCCACACGAGGTGAGGGTCATCTCTGCACAGCCCGAATGCATGTGCTGGGGCTGTGTGACGAGAGCACCGCACCTCGTGTGATCAACAGAAAGGGCAGGGCATCCTTCTGGCCAACAGAGATGTCACTATAGCCACCAGTCATGCTCTTCAGTAAATATCTAGATAGCATTCTCAGTTTGCTGACACAAATCCAGTCATTTCTTCCAACAGTTACTTACTGAGCTGTGTCGTCGTCGCCGTTTAGGGGAGGACCGACTCAGCTTCCTGGCCAGGTAGCGAGCCTATCACGCCGCACAAAATAAATGATACAAACCACTGATATGAGCCACAACAACCATACAGCCAAAGGGTCTTTCGCGACCTCAAGCAATCCTCTAGAGACACGGCTGCCACCCAGAGTCAAGGGGGGGCTGCTAATTCATGCCATAATAAATCATAAATGGAAATCATATAAACTTTTAAAGAAAATATGAAGTAAGTATCATCACAAAAATAAAGTTACATAATTGATACTTCTTTATTCTTTAACTGCCTGAAATCACAAACACAATCAAAACCAAAATTAGAAAAATATTCAAATACTAATCCACTTTCACACAATGCAATAAAACTTATACCTTTCTTAAATAAATCAAAATACCAGAAACAGAACACTGATCAGTAAAGATAAGATTCTTTAACCTGTGACCTTTCTATGTCAAACTATTTATCATTCATGTGTTGTTCTATTATGAAAAAAAGAAAAAAAGAGAGAAAAAAAATGGCTTGCAAACAACACTAGAAGACCATCCATTTTTTCTTTATAAACAAACAAACAAAAATATGTAAAGCTATCTGTCCTTTCTATTTATCTACACATAAAAAAAGAGAAAGCATTACTTTGTTTATATCCATTTCAGAATTATGCATTCTTGCCTCACAGTTTTAGAACAATGGCCAAAGTCTCTCTTTCCTTAATTTGTTTTTGATAAGACAAACATTAAGATCTCTATGGAGTTTACAGCACCAAAGGTTGAGATTCCTCTAACAGCAAAGTGCTGTATTCATAATGCTACCTACCAGTAATACACATGTTTATTTGAATATGTTCACTTCCAATATATTCATCATAACTTTCATATCATTCTTACGAGCAAATTTTCTTGAAGAGAAAAGCTTGAGCCTTTTGGCAACTTCACCAACACCTAATAACTGCGACATTCATCATGCAATGGAAAGCATGTAGCTGCAACCTACAACCTATATCAAAAACCCTTTTTTTTACATCAAGTATACTACATATTACTACCACATGAGAAGTAATGCAAAAGTGAAACAAAGTGGTGATGGGACAAAAGTTTTTTGATCCATGTGGTAGGGTTAGCAGTCCCCTGCCATCACCTGGAAAGCTACACTTGGGAGGGTAAGTCAAAAAATCCAATTGCCAAAGTTCTGAGATAAGTATTAGTATGGTGTTACTTGCCTTTGCAATGCAGACACAGAAAGTAACTAATCTCTCTCACCAGAGTCAGAAACTCATATGTAGCTGTACAAAGATTTTTTGTTTTGAGGAATATGACAAAGGGATGTAAAAGATTTCAATGAAAAAATTTATTATTTTGACTACTCATGAATAAACCTTCGTGTAAACGATTAAATAGCTACACAGCAAGGAGTATCAATAAGTTTTCCTTTTGTTCAAGATCCACCTCTTTTCTGGCAATTCTGAAGACATTCCATTTTCAGTGCATTATCTTAATTTAGATCTGCATCTCTTTCCTTCAATATAGTCTAACACATTTCATACAGTCTGTTGTCAAAATGTAAAAGATGATCACCTCTGGACTCCATAATAATCCTCTTGTCAGCTATATTCTCTAAAGCCTTGGTGGTAATCAGTTGTCTTTAATGGATGATGCAAACAGCTAGACATAAGGAAAACTATAAAAAAGAAGCATCTAACAAAACAGTTACATCAGTAAACAGCAAAAATAAACTTTGATCCAAAGCAAGTTCAGAACTTAAGAGACATATAAGATCATCATAACTGTCCTTTGTTTTCTGTATCTTATTTACTGATTGTGTATTTGTAATACTATACAATTCTCATGTTTTATCTGACTAGTCTCCTATACTGCTAGACTTTTTTGTTGGGATAAACCTAATTTTCTACTTCACAAACTCATATATGTTTTCTGCACGCAGGCATGCAGGCGCACGCACTCACTCACTCTCTCTCTAATGACAAAGCTGTTACTAAAAGGTAAGAAACTGGGTAATCTTGCACTGAAGATAACTGAGAAGTGATTTCCTCCTTACTGCCTATGTGCTCCCAAATTACTGGATATATTCAAGTATATTATTAAAGACATTAATAAAATTCTCCTGTTAAAACTATGTCACAGAGAATATCAGCTGGAAAAAAGCTCATTGTTCTCAATCTTGATTAATCTTTTGCTAAGAGTTATCAAAACTTCATACTGCATGTTTCTGTATCAATCTACCCCTTGGGATAAATGCACCACTGTACACTTTAGTTTCCATTTCTATGCTTCATCTATATATAATATTTAATTAATTTATCCTAAATATGGAAGTCTTAACTCTGTCTCTCAATCACCTCTTTTTTTATTCACCCAGACTCAATATTCTTTCTTTTTACTATCTATAAATCATATCCAGTACACAGGAATAAATCTACAATATAAGTCCAAAGTCTACCAGTAATTTACTGGTTCAAAATTTTCATCAAACAAAATACTGCCCAGATTCCACTGTCTATCACTTAATAATCATATGCAGTAACATTACTTAGCAATGGACTTATTATACAGAATAGTAAAACCAGTTTTCCTTTCATACTGAATTAAATCAGTCATAATATAGTAAGAACAGCCACAAACTTTTGTGCACAACCTCTTCTGACAAAATGATGTGTTAATAAAATCATAACAGCTATGTAACATTAAGCCTCGGAAAAGATAAGTGATCGGATCACATAAAGCCTTACACAATATCAATGGATGACTCATGTAATTTCAGTAATAAGTACAGGAAGAGAGAATACCACCAAATTATTCTTGACTGACACCTCCTGAAAACTAATAACCACTAGCCAATATACATATATGACATACACTCTGGCAAGCACGTAGTCATTACCAAAACGAAAAGCCCTCCAAGTAAGACTGAATTCATAAGATTTTAAAAATACTGACCCGTGCTTCAGGATCGTCCCTGTGGCGTCGAGAGGCTGAGGGGGAGCGTGTGTGGCCATCCTGCGAATGATGCTGACTTCTGGAGTCGAGCCCTGGGGTGGACACAACTGGGAGAACATTGGGGTTGGCCTGAAGCTGTCTGATGATGTCCTCTATGTAATTGATCACGACTTCGGCATGGTTTCCAGGTAGGAGATTAGTCATTACCTGAAGTATGATTGTGCATAAGCATTCTTTTAGGAATTTATGGGAGAGAACAGTAAAGGTAAATAATCCTTGATCAACACTGTAATTGTTTGCATGAAAAATTGGAAAATATCAGTAAACCATTATGCAATATATGAAAAAAAAGAGAAAGAGAAAGAGAGAAAAAGAGAGAGAAAACTTACCAGTTTGTTGGCTACATCTTGAGGGTCATTATCTGTTATGTCAAACTTGAAGGTGATAGTCTTCTGCTTTATAGTTTCTAGCTGACACTCGACCATGGTTTCCGTTACGCTCAGGACTGTCAGCTTGGGGAAGCGGTCGAGCGTCTTCTTCTTGCGAATCTTCTTGCGCTCCATGTGGTGGCGGCTGGAGGAGCCGTCGGCCGGGTGCTCGCTGCACTCCGACTCGGAGGCGGCGCTGGGGTCAAATGGAGGGTGAGTGGAGGATGTGATGGTGGTGTTGTTGGAGGAGGAGGACATGGTGGTGGTGATGGTGGAAGAGGTGTTGTTGCTGGTGAGGGAGTTGTTGGAGATGGCTTGCGTCTCCAGACCAACGCCACCAGGCCTTCTCAGAGACATGGAAAGAATAAATTTCAATGTTTCAGATATTCCACTTCACTTGAAAACCAAAAGATCAGTACTTACTGCTTGGTAAACACCTTGTCATGCATTGATTAGAATCTTACACTTCATTTCACTGACAATCAGCGGACTGTTTGGCAGGGATTTCAAATGAACAAGAAGCTAAAGCAGCATTGTCAGCTAAAAAAATGTATAGGTATTCTCTACTGAAAAGCACACATTTGGAAATTTGCTTTTGTTATTGAAAAAAAAGTAAAATTAAGAATAAAAAAAGCTAAATCTTCTCTATGAAAAATCATGTTAAACTGAAAAATAAGCATAGCATGGCACAATAAACATAAGATTCACCACATAAATCATTCATTATTTCTAAACTGGACTAAAAAGAACACAAAATGGCTATATGAAACCCTCACTAAGTAACCAAAAAGCAGGGTACACTGAGAGGCAAAATGTAAAAAACTGTTAAATCTGTGTGAAAACTGCAATGACAAATACATGTACAAATGCCCTTCTTATTTACACTGTCAGGATACAATCTTAAAGTTAAACTTTGAATGAAACGGGTAAATTAAGTTTTAAGCACGTAAAAATTCTGAAATTAAAAATCTGAGGATTCCTTAAATAGTGAGACTATCTTAACATCTCAAAATTTCCATACACATTCTTAACAAACCCTTTTGCCTGTTGAGTCTGTAAAGTCTAATCATAAAGGATGGAGATCAAGTAAATCTGGAGGAAGCACCTATTATAAACTTAAAATTATGACACTCTTTCAAATTGTATCCAATGACACTTAACAGTATTCCAGAGTTAATGCCACGACACAAACGGAAGCTTGGTTAGGAACCTTCACACGACCTAACCCACTTGGCTTTTTTGCTCTCTGATCCCATGTGTTTTGTTGCAAGGTGGAATATCATTGCATAAAATGGGACTGAATGACATGCCGTTCTGGGGAAAAAGCATTCAAAGCTCACCAGAATATCAGACAAGGAATTAGCTCGCTGACATTTACAATGAGAGAATAATGATAAAAAAAAATAATAATAATAACAATAATAAAAAAAGAGTAGGGGGGGGGAGAGAGAGAGAGAGAGAGAGAGAGAGAGAGAGAGAGAGAGAGGAGAGAGAGAGAGAGAGAGAGAGAGAGAGAGAGAGAGAGAGAGAGAGAGAGAGAGAGAAAATGAGAGAGAGAAAGAGAATGAGAGAGAGAGAGAGAGAGAGAGAGAGAGAGAGAGAGAGAGAGAGAGAGAGAGAGAGAGAGAGAGAGAGAGAGAGAAAATGAGAGAGAGAAAGAGAATGAGAATGAGAGGGAGAGAGAATGAGAGGGAGAGAGAATGAGAGAAAGAGAGAATGAGAGAAAGAGAGAATGAGAGAGAGAGAGAGAGAGAGAGAGAGAGAGAGAGAGAGAGAGAGAGAGAGAGAGAGAGAGAGAGAGATCAGCATTCCTAGGAGGCACATTCAGAGATTAATCTAACAGCAGGCCATGACAGGCAGATAGAGACAGAGCATCACAGTTGTCTCAAGACCTCTTGCTTACCTGTCATTGAGGAGGTGTGAATAGGTGTCTGCGAGGATCTGTGGTGAAGGAGAACTCTCCAGCTGTGGGGGAAATACAAAATGTTAAACACATGTTGTGGAACAATTTTGGATTTAGGCCTATTCCTCAATATCACTTCATTAGACCTTTACTTTAATATCAATGATGAATCTAATGTGCTATATTTTTATGAGTTGAAATTTACTGAGAGTAGAAAGAAAACTTTAATTAAATTTAACTTTTTTATATTACAATCTAAGCTATCATCAATTCTACACTGAGTATATTTAACAGTTAACATTTCCAATCTTCAAGCAAGTCCACATTATATATATCAAACAATCTAATGCTATAAGCAAAAATAATGGAAACTTCTCTTATGGAATTCCCTTCTGGCAACACAAAGCCTTTTACTATATAATAATACGACACAAAGCATCCTTCACTAAGAGAAAATGTATGTGATTGTAATGTTCATGCATGTGTGTGTATCTGTGTGTGTGTGTGTGATTATGTTAGCCTGAGTGTGGGTGTTATATGAATATGTGATTTTATATGTACAGTGTGTGAGCATAAGAAGAGAGACATGTTCTTGTGTGTGCAAATGTAAGTGCATGCAATTGTGCTAATGTGTGTCTCAGGTGCACCTTGTCTGGTAGTATCTCCAAAAAAACAAAGATGTTTAAGAATTCCTTATAGATTAGCTGTAAAAACATCATACTATAAGACAACCATATAAAATTAGCAGAGTAAAAAATATAAGCAGGCATGTGATATTTGAAACCAAAAAGCAGTAAACACTAAAGGAACATAAAGGAATTTTACAATTACATAATAAAATCAGCAAAATAAAGGTATAAAGGGTATGTAATATATTTCTCAATACAGGACAAGGATCTTGAGGTACTTCATCATGTCTCTTTTCAAATAAAATATATATCTGATGGTATCTCTACTTTCACAAAATATA